CTCATAGAACATATTACTGCCTCCCAAGGGAGTCAACCCAAAATCCCATTGACCAACTGCTGCATATATAGTTCAAAGGCTAGGTTTGCCGGTGGGTGTGCATCCTCTCCCTCAGGTCTGAATGCAACACCTTATGGACTAACCAGGATAACGGCAAAAAAGCTCCCATCTCATAAAAGGAGAAATGGGAGACACAGCAGTTATATAATTAATGAGCATGCCTATCCCAGATGTGGGAAAATCTCCTAGATTTGATCTTGATTTGGTTCTCTGGGAAGAACTCCTTTGTCTCTTGTTCTTTTTGGCCTCTAGGTCCACCCTTTGGGCCTTTTTTTGGTCTATTATCCTCCATAGTCACATCTGAAGTGGGGTTAGAGAGGATGTCATCCTTGAAGGCTGTGTAGCTTTTGTAGACTTTGTCCTGCTCATGGAAATTTGCAGACCCAAGGGTTGTTTTAAGGCTTATACCTCCCAAAAGCTTTTAAAGCCCATGGTTTCCTTGAAACCTTCAAAAACTTAATAAATTTTTAATCTATGTGGATCAGACAACTCTATGTGTTAGTAACCACATTCAAAGTTCTTTTCTAGACATAATTTTCAATCTTGATTTATTTATTTGCTTCCTTGTCTCAGCTTAATGATAATTCTCTTGAGAGGTTATCTGAAACTGTAAATTTGAGTGAGAAGTCCAGGATGCATGTTGTAATTTCTAGTGTAATTATTAGAAAATTTCACAACAGACTGTACAACTAACAAGCTAATGAGGGGAGGATGCAATAATAAAATATTATCAGTCCAAAAGCAGAGAAAAAGAATACAGAAAAAGCATAGCAAACAAGAAAATAATAGGATGATAGATTTAAACCCAAATATAAAAGTAATTACATTAAATGTAAGTAGGCTACATACTCCAATTAAAAGACAAAGATTGTTAGATTCATTTTTTTAAAAAGCCTACATACTGCTTACAAGAGATACACCTTAAAAATAAGATTTTTACAATACAAAGATTAACAAGAAATAGAAAACTTATACTACACTGTTCCAGTTAGTATTGCTCATAACTTCAAATTATAAAACATAATGTGGCATAAAACAACCATTTTATATGTTCACAATTAGGAACCAGGACAAGGCACAATGAGGTTAGCTTGCCTTTGCTCCAAGATGTCTGAGGCCTCAGCTGGAAAGATTTGAAGATTGGGGATAAATGTAAGGCTGAGGGTGACTCAACAGCTGGGGGCTGGTATGGTAGAAGTATCTTCACATGTTCATATTGGGACTCACCTCGGCTGTTGGCCAGAACACCTAAGATGATCTTTCCATGTGATCTCTCCATGTGGGTGAGTTTGGGCTTTCTCAAAGCATGGTAGCTAAGTTCCAAGAGGTGCATCCAAGAGAACAAGACAGAAGTGCACTGATTTTCATGATCTGGCCTCAGAAGTCACATAGTGTCACCTCTTCTGTACTCTGTTGTCACAAAGATGTACAGAGTTTCAAGGAGTATCATGTATTCCCATTAGAGGATTATCAAGGTCACACTGTAAAGAGCAAGTGGGAAGGGGAATATCATGGCCATCTTTGAAAAATACAAGCCACCACAATTGCAAACATTAACCAAAAGCAAGTCAATGAAGCAATATTAATATCCGACAAAGCGGATTTTAACGTAAGCATTACTAGAGACTTAGAGAAACATTTCATAGTGATCGAAGGTTCAGTTCACCAGAAAGATGTAATAATTTTAAATTTCTATAATCTAATAACATAGCCTCAAAATATATAAAGCTAAAAATTGACAGAACTAAAAATTAAAATCCATCATCTTAGTCCAATGTATATTTTTCTAGAAAACAGCTATCTCAGTGACTGATAGAATGAGACAAAAAAAAAAAAAAATCATTAGGTAGTTTGAATAGAATAATAAACAAAATTAACCTAATTGGCATTTATAGAACATTCACTCAACAACTACAGGATATATATTTCTATCATGTGCGCATGGAACATTCACCAAAATAAGTCATATATTGGGCCATACACATGTCAACAAAGTTTTAATGGTTGAAATCATACAAGACATGTTTTCTTTTTTTCTAATCATAGAATTAAGATAGAAATCAATAAAAACAGAAAAATAAATAATAGAAATTCAAATTAAAACCACACTTACGTACTACTAAACAGAATATCTAAAATTAAAGACTAACAATAGCAAATATTATTATTATTTTTTTTTTTTTCAAATAGTTCCTTTTTTTATTGAAACATAATTGACTATATATATTTGTGGGGTACAGAGTTGACTATTTTTTTTTTTAATTTTGTCAATATACAATGTAGTTATTTATTGTGTCCCATCACCGAAACCT